TTAACTTTCGAACTCCCTAAGGCGGTACAACCCGCAGTATGCATAGGTCCACCCAACTGGGAGGTGACGATGGGTTTTCTTTCCGCTAGCTCTTCTGTCTTGCCACCACAAAAATAATTCATGTAAATGTACTTATAGGGAAAAGAATGAAGATTTTCCATAATATATGTATATTATTTGGAATACACCTTTGGAATCGGACAATCTTAGAAAGCGGGCGAAGGACATCCTTATTTATGATTAAAATGGCGTATCGAGCAAAATAGGCTAAGAAAAACTGACCTATTGATTTTCAAACTTTTCATATGGGTGATAGTATTTTTTTAAAATAATATCTACTCTAAATTTTTTTCGATATCTCTCGCTATTTTTTCTCATTAATTGTGCTTGTCCCTCCCTTCATTAATTATTGAGTTCGCACTACCTTTGTACCCTGCCAATACCACATAAATAATGGGCTATTCCATTTTGATCGCCTGGAAACACAAAAGACATGACAGAGACGCTACTTGGTTTCAGTGAAAAAAGGAAGAAAGAGAGAAGTGTTTAACGTCTCTTGCTAATACCTCATAAATAATGGACTATTCTGTTTTTATCGCGTGAGAAAACAAAAGATATATGGAAGACGGTACTTGGTTTCAGTGAGAAAATGAAAGGATAGATAGAAGTTTTTTGCATCTGTGTCAGTGAAATGGAAAAAATTATCAATTTCAAATCTTTTCATTTGTACCCCCTTCTTGATATAACGAGCAGCATTCATATTTATAATTGTAATTGCAATTAAAGTTGTTAAGCTCAAATATTTAACAATGCGATAGGGGAATTTCTACAGATATTTTATTGTTGTAGAAGTCGTCATGAGCTTATTAAATCATTCACTTAAGAATTAAGATTCATTAGAAATTTAAAATAAGAAAACCATGAAATTTTCATGGGTTAGAACTAGTAATAGTTAATGTGAAATTTGGCACTATTATTATAAACATACGCTCCCCACCCCACACCGACTCTCGGTCAGTTTTCACAGCCTGGTCAGCTTTTGCGTCACGTATTTTGTTGTTGCTTTATTCAGACCTTCATCTGGATGTCATTCATGGAGCCATATTCGTTTAAAAAAATCTGAAATGTCATCTGTATGCAACCGCTTTCTCAGAACAATGGGTATAAATGACTTCGAGCGAATGAAACCTAACGCTGTTAGGAAGGACCATTCTTCTTTGTTCCTTGTGAACTGACGCTACAGAATCACAAACAAACCTGTTCGAAATAGCAGAAACAACATCACTTGAGGAGTGTCAACAAAGCAACAACTAAAATGGACAACTCGAAGAGTCAAATAATGACACATCTTTCACGTTCTCTACAGGCATGAATTGCAGTGGTTATATTGAATCAACTGCTAAGTCTGGTGCTAAAAAGGTTGGTTGTCTGTGTCTTGCTAGACAATATTTCTGGTCAGAAGCCATCTTGTACATTCATAAGTCTACTATTCGTCTATGCATTGAAAATTGCTGTCATGTTTCGTCTGCTGCTCCGGCTTCATATCAAGAGCTTCTCGACAAAATCCCAAGAAGTGCCTGTAATGCTATCCGTTGTTTCGACATCGTCCGCTAGTCAGTCGTTAACTGCACCTGTGAGAATATACAAGGTCGGCTGCGTTTGCATATATACACCCGACTAGCTACAAGCACAGGTTTATCAACTTGTACGGGAACCGGTTTTTCAACCTAATATGGCTGTAAGCCTGCAAATATATCTCTATCTATAAAAGGCAGTATGTGTGTGTGTCTGTGTAACGAATGCACGGCCGCAATTTTCGACGGATTTGCACTAAAACTTACTTTCACATGCTCCAAGTTAGCGAGAAGGCCAAGACCGACTTTGCATTTCCCAACCCCCATCGATAGTGGAAATAATCGATTTTTTCTTGCTTCTACGGCAGTTTTCATGTAGCTTGCGGCCATTTTTTACTGGCCAGAGTGAGAGACTATAGCTGGCTGCCACGAATAGGAAGGAAGATTCTATTGGCCAGCGTGAGAGCCAACAGCTGACTGACACGAATGTTAACTAGCATGCTACCATGCAAAAAAAATCGATAGCTGCATTCGTCACAAGTGGGAAAAATTTAAATCTGCATGGCACTTTACTCCAATTGGCTCATTCGCTTGCTTGAACTCAACGTTGATTCCGATTCCGCAGAACTGGGTTGGGTGTGAAAAAGTATATGTTGTTAACATTCTTTTTTCATTCGGCTTTTCCAGTTATGAGTCCTTTTTTTAAATCTGATCGTTTTGTGTTCATTTTGTTTAGTTCTTTTTTCGTAACAGATTTAATGTTCAGTATAGAGCTTAGAAAAAATTCGCAGTGTGAGATAGGCAAGAAGTAAGGCATGTAGCAACATCAGCACGGCAAAGGGCACTCCTAAATAATACGATTTGTTGGAATTATAGCAAATAGAATTAGTACAGATGATAACGAGTGCAATTAGTTAAGATTATAATAAAAGTATGATTGGTAAGAATCCTACCAAATAAGACTATTAGGGACGATATCAAAATAGAATTAGTACAGCCAATAACAATCTCAACTCTTAGTAATGATCATAGATGTGATTAGTAGATATAGTACCGAATGTTATTAGTTGAGACCATAATAACTTTAATTATTACGGATGAAACAAAGAACAATAAAAATGATATCAAATACAATTAGAACGAATAGTACAAAATACAATGAGAGGAGATGATACTAAATATTACTTGTCGGGATGACACTAAATAGGAATATTGGAGAAAAACATTAAATATGATTGGTAGAGATTGATACTAAATATGGTTAGTGGAAAGGATACTAAATCTGATTAGTTAACATATAAAAAAATATGAAATATAAAAATTTCATTCAGATAAAGATTTTTACAGAAAGTGCAACATCGATATTGGAAAGCGCATTGGGATAGCGAAAGATACCTTCCAAAAGCTAAGCAAAGTATTAAGAAAGGAAAAAAAATCCTTAGGAACAAATAAAAGAGTAATGAACTTTTACGTAATGTCGGTCCTCTTTTGTAGTTGCGAATGTTGTACAATATACTCACAAAGGAAGAAGCGACTTGAAGCAAGAGAAATGGACTTTTACAAAAAAAATGTTATGAATACCATCGACGCAAATGTGAGTAACGACGAAGTTTTAGAGACAAAAGAAAAAGGACACTTATACTTAACTTCAGAAAGAGACAATTGAAATTTCTACAGCACTTTATGAGGAAATAGGACTTGGAAAATTTGATAATCCCATGACATATTGAAGTCAAGGTGAACAGAGAAAAATAGAGCACTCATCAGGCTTGTGTAATTGGATGGCAGAACATGGATTAGGAAAAATAGCGAAAAAACAGAATTTACTAAGAATTTCAATATCCTGAAGTGACATGGCATAGAGAAAAAGATGAAGTGTGATTCATATTTTTGTCATGTTACAAATTTTCGTAAGACAGAGACAATATATTAAATTTGTGAAGGAGCTATAATAGAAAGCAGAAAATTATTTTTTAATATTTTTTTTAAATTATCAAAAACAATCAATTACTTTTATCGCGACAAAGGTCAAATAGGAAAGTTTATCAGATGATTAGTGCTTGAAAAGGTTTATCAGATGATTAGTATTTGAAACAGTTTATCAGATGATTAGTATTTGAAACAGTTTATCAGATGATTAGTGGTTGAAAAAATTTATCAGATGATTAGTGTTTGAAACAGTTTATTAGATGATTAGTGTTTGAAAAAGATTATCAGATGATTAGTGTTTGAAAATGTATATCTGATGATTAGTGTTTGAAACAGATTATCAGATGATTAATGTTTTAAACAGTTTATCAGATGATTAGTGTTTGAAACATTTTATCAGACGATCAGTGTTTGAAAAAGTTATCAGATGATCTGTGTTCTGCTGGAAGACTTTTGTGTAAAAAAATTAGATTCAGTTTTGTCGAAAAGTCTTTTTTATATGTAAAAACTATTTTACCTACGTAATCATGCAGGAAAAAAAAACACTCTCCGTGCGTGTAATAAAATTTAAATATACTTTCTTTCGTATGAACAGTCATGAAAATGTTGGAATATTTTTGTTATTCCCACCCGCTGAGTTCACAGACACGAAGACAGCCATCATTAAAATGTCTCCTTTTCATTTGCTTTCTTTTTGGATCGATTCTCCATTAATGCTATATGTAATTAGTCGTTTCCTCATAAGTACGTTGCACTACTTTTGATTGAAATTCATAAAATGTTTCTCATAAAACAATTTCACCAGGATAAATAAGGTCACAAAGTACAGTAGTAGGTATCGTTCTTTCCAGTGTTGATGAAGGTTTCCTTCCTAACCATTTGATTGAAGTAATGCGGAATGTCACTATCTTAAATATTTTATTATTTTATTTACTTTTATAATGAATTTTCTTCACCCAATCTCATAAACTGGCGCTACAGAAACCCAAACAAAGAAATAACAAAAACTACATCAATTGAAGACATCCAACAACAGCAACAACTAAAATGGATAGCATATGTAACTTGAATGCAAAAAAATGACATAATCAAGATGTTAACGAAAGTTTTGGAAGGAAGCCCTATTTATATTAGTAAGAACGATTGTCAAATAATAGTTTCAAACTATTATTATTTAGTGTCTGTGTATTTGGCTCTGACATACTGAGGCTGACCTTGGGGCCATCTATTAGACAAAATAAGGATCTCGATTTTGATTGGCTTAGCCGAACGTGGAAATGTCAGATGTAGAAAGTGTTTTCGAGTAGTTGATTTGGTTGTTTCGGGTCTGGGGAAAATTACTCCCCAGTTGTGGAGGATAGAGAGATCCCACTTTCTAGTTAAAAAATGTACACTCCGACGTGTTAATAAAATAGATAAGTTTAAAAATCCCTTTTCTTGAAGTTCTCATTTTTAATCCCGAACCAAAAACATTTCGACAGCCGACCGGTAGAAAACAGCCGAGAGAGAGAGAGAGAGAGAGAGAGAGAGAGAGAGAGAGAGAGATATACTTTGTTGTGGAATCGACCCAGTCAACTAAAAGACCTTCACGGAAGAAAGGTGGGGGTATGCAACACGATAACTCTGTTCTTGAGAAACCCCTTTTTTCTAGAAAAAACTGTTTTAAGAGAAAGATTTTTATAAATTCCGGCAGAGAGCAACGCTGACTGCCCTGACAATAAACGCCGAATGTTTCCTTATAAGGAAATGACTAATCCTACTATTCCTATAACCCTGGCCTCATTTTTCCTTAATTCCTGACCGAATGTCTGGGATGAGGAGTTACTGACATTATTTGCATACTGACTGTTATCCTCATCTTTGTTATTTTTATATGTTGTATCCGTCATCAGGTGTTTGTCGATAACTGGTAATTGAACCATTTTCTTAAGAGTGTTCTCGTTTCGCTGCTTGTCTGAAAGAAGTCTCTGGGATATTTAACCAATTCAGTGTTAATTAGGGTTTCTAGTACAAAAATGTAGAATGCTAATGGGTCGAGAGTTAGAAGGGTCAGACACTTCACTTGAGTTCTTAAAGACTGGAACAACAGAAGCAAGAAAGCGACAGACATCGAAGCATTTATTGTACAGTTTAGAGAGAACCGGAGCTAGTTCTGTAATAATCGTTAATAGATCGAAGTTGGCCTGGAGAAGCGAAAGAGATATTGTTTATCTGAAATAAAACCCTACGATGTAAGATACGTAAGCAATTCCTAGTTGATTAGGGCCTCTAGTAGTTTACCAAAAAAATAAAAAAAATAAATAAAAAAGGGTAGAAGGCTAATAAGCCGACAGTTAGAACGATGTCTTTTTATAGCCACTAAAATTTTAATATTTTTATTGATATTCATAGATCCCAGGATTGCACGCAGGTTGTGTGTCATTTTAAAAAGCCCCTATACGTTGTACATTAATACTAAAATTCATAGATCCCAGGATTATACACAGGTTGCATATCTTTTTTTTATAGCTACTATAGTTTTATTATTGATTTTAAAATTCATAGATCCCAGATTTATATAAAGGCTGCATATTTTTTAACATCCCCATCAGTCAGCAATGCGCCATGCATGATACACGCATAGGCGATCATGTATTTTTCGACACATGACTGACGAAGCAGATATTTTCCCGCAGTAGGTTGCAATTTCTTTCTGCGTTAAATCAGTTGCCATTCAAGGCTATAGAACTCGGTCTGACCTGCTATTTACCCATAGCTACGGTGGGGAAAAGAGGAGGATTCATACCTTTTTTTATTAGCACGTAAGTGAATGTATTCGACTGGAATTCGAACACGGCTCTCCGATTCCTCAATCCGTTACTCCACCGTACGTTTACAATTATTGTTGCAATTCATAGGTCCCAGGATTAGATAAAGCCTGTATGTATTTCAATAGCTAATACACGTTTATTTTTTTTTTTACTTTAATCATTTCCTTACGAGTGTTCTCCTTCTGTTGATCATATCTAGGGGTTTCTTGTCCAATCCTTATTGACCATTGTCCACTTATTACTCGTTCCGTTTTCACTGAGTGGTCAAATACGTAGACTTGAAATATTATGGTGCCATATAGCCTACGGCCACATCACATTGAATTACTGGTTTCCGTTCGATCACCAAAGCTAAGATACGTAGAGCATGCTCAGATGGGTGACCCTTTGGGAATACCGTATGTTGTAAATTTGGTTTGGTTTGGTTTGTTTTACGGCATATCAACCTCAATAGATTATTTAATGCCGACAAAATTTTTACTGCTGGTAATATGTTTTTCTTCAAAAATCTTTTTCTGGGAATATTTTTCCTTGAAGAAATCATTTTTTCAAAGAATGTATAGCTGTTTGTATTGCTGGTACTTTTTTTTTAAGTGTTGCTGATAATAATTTTTCCTTCAAAAATAATGGCTGGTGCTAATTTTTTTATTACATATTATTTCTGGTATTAAAACCTATTTTTACACAAGTTTGGGTGTCAACTATTTGCTCATAGATGGGACCCTAGCAGGTACTACTATCCCGGGTCACAGTGGACCTGGGAACACCAGCAATTAACAGGTGGTTCCATGATCCTCAAAACCTCCTGATCAGAGGCCTTGCTGTTGGACGTAGTTTATCGTCTTACCCAGGACACGGATGTAGTTTATCGTCATACCCAGGACGCATATGTTGCAAGTCTGGATATGTGTCTGTTTTAATTGATAACGGCTCGTGAGGAGAAATCCGAGAGTCGTGTTCGAATTCCAATCGGATTCGTTACATTCACTCATGCGCAAATACTCTTGGGAAAGGTTCAAATCCATCTCCCCCACTGCTTTAGGTCAGATAGCAGGACAGAATTGGTCTTATAGCCTTGATTGGCAACCAGTCTACTGCAGAAAGAAACGGCAGCCTACAGCGGGAAATCTTCTGCTTAGTCAGTCATGAACCAAAACAGATATAATCGCCCAAGCGTGTATGATGTATGCTACTTAATTGACTAAACACAGGCGATCGTGGTGCTCCACGCTATTTTTTGTTGGTCTAGAAAATTCTTGACCCTTGACCATTCCTTTTTCCTTTATTCTACATTCATTCAATGAACTTATTAAGTAAATTACTCGTCATTTTACCCCACTCCTCTTGCGTTCAATATGTCCTGTTAGTGTTATCCCCTCCTTCCACATTATGCATACCAGAAATTTCAACTCTTTCTGATTGTAAGTATACCTTTACAGATAGTTTCTATTTTCTTTAAGAATCCTTCCTTGGTGAAATGTTTTGTCCATAATATCGTAGCATTCGTTGTAAGAAACTCGCCTCTGTCACATCAAGTCTATTTTTCATCTGTAAGTAAGTTATCCAGCATTTGCCGTCAAATACACCATTGTGCAAATTAATTAAAACAAAACGAATAATTCCGTTATTATTTAATTGTTTTTCGTATTTTCCCAGTAAACCAGGGCACATTTCAGTACTTCGTATGTCCATTCCACGAAGACTGAAGACTGACCACAGATACTCGATTGGATTTAAATCATGAAAGTTTCCGAGCTAATCTAATATTACTTTGATTTGCTCACAGGTAAGACTTGCCAGTGTGTTCATGCAGCGTTGCAATTTTCGTACACTTCCTTGTTGTAACGTCCATCGCAGACAATAGCTGTAGGACAACTAATCGACAGTCGAGACAATAGTGTCTGAGCGTGATAAAAATTTGATGTTTTTCAAGGTCAAACAAATTTCATCATACACCCCGAAAATAGACTCATATTACTGCATACCACTGCAAATGACCTAATCTGAGGAAAAATAGAAAACGATTACACCGTGTCATTTTAGTGGGTCTAAAACTGACCGTATGGTGAAAGAAAGAATACTAATCAATTCATTTGCACCAGAGTATAGGAAATTAGATACTAAGTAGTAGTTCAGAACGATTTTTGGCTGATTTTATGAAATGATCTTCAGAGATTGAGAAGATAGTATCACATATCATTAAGTGATTTTAAATCTGTCTTTCAATTTTAAAACTTCCCTCAGGACCATACAAATAAATCCCATTGTTAGATTAATACCACATGGGAGCTTAGATAACACCTAAACATTTCTCTAGTGTTGTTGATCAAGGTTTAAAACGAATTATTTTCCACACGTTCGCTGATATCACATGTTTACTCCCAACACGGCATTATCAATTTTTTTTATCTTGTCAGTGACATTAATCGATTACGGATTTTGTCTGTCTATCGATCATTTGTTGATGTCAGCCTAACGATTTTTTGTTTTCACATTGCTGTTTTTCTCTATCGCACATTTCTGATCTTAAATCCTTTCGTCTATCACCGTCTCGTCTGCTACTTGCAGTCACTTTGTTAATCGAACTTTTTCTTTGTATTTTATGATACGGGTATCTCTTGCTTTTCCAATGTTCTTTGAAAGCCTCGAGGAATGTCGTACCTCCGACTATCCAAAATGTCGCCAAGCAAAGATGTTACTATCAATTTATTTTATCTTTTAAGCGTTACAGACAGCAAAATATCATCATTTGAAAAGCATGATTTTTTTTACAGTTATTGGGGAGCATTGTATTGCGCCAATTTTTTTTAGTTTAGGAAATCTCTGTTTTTAACATTTGAAATATATATATATATACCAGGATTATAAAAAGATTGGTTGTATTTTTTATAGTTACTAATAGTAGGTCTCTATCGGCAAGGGTTGTCCATGGGTCGCATCCGAGTTGCCTGCTTGGCTGGAGCATCGACGTCTGTGACTGAAGAGGCCAATGCGAGAGTGGCATCCTCTAGGTAGCATGTGTGGTATGAGACAGTACCTTAGTGTTGGGCAGCTTGTTTTGCCATGCTATTACCAAGATGCGGAGGATGCTTCTCATGTAAAAGGTGTTCAGACGCCTTTCTTGCTTGGCGTACGTGGTCCAAGCCTAGCTGCTATATAACAGTGTGCTGATGACTCAAGCATTCTACACTGACATCTTGGTCTTCACTGACAGCGTGGGATTGGTCCACACACGTTTAGTGTTGTTAGGCACACAAGGGTTGTGGCTGTCTTTCCGATACTCTTGTCAATCTCTGTGTCTAAGGAGAGGTTGTCAGTAATGGTGCAGCGAAGGTACGTGAACTGATTGACCGCATCGAGCTCATAGTCGTCAATGCTGATGGCTGATGGTGTTTTGGTATCTTGTTCCGGGATGTTTATCTTTTTCAGACTGATAGTCAGTTCGAAGTCTCTGTAGGTCTGGAAGAAACGGTTCATCGGTGACTGAAGTTGACACAGAGTGTGCGTCGCTACCACCGGATTGTCGGCAAAAAACATGTCTCTGACAACGGCTTCACGTACTTTGGTCCTGGCTCTGAAGTTTGATCTTGCAGCACACCAAGTGGTCTGTGTCGCAGTTCGTGCTGTGAAGGACGTTCTTAATGGCGGCCATTTTGACCAGAATGACATCCTGCTGATGCCAGTGCTTTGAGCGTGGATGTCTTCAGGAGACATTGTGCTAGGGCTTGGTTCTGATGAAGGAGTTGGCTATGCACAAGTTGTGGTAAGTGTATAGCTCTTGCTGACTCCAAACTGTCCTAGGCAAGAGTCATGATCAGCACCCACTCGCCCAGGAGAATAAGTTGTTCTTTGCTGGAGATACTGCTGTTGCTGGCTCCCAACTTGTCGTCAAACTCATCCTTAGTGTGCGTTGCGGCAAAGAGTGTCGGGGCGTACAGGCTGACGAAGGTGACGAGGCCTGCGATAGTGTTGAGGCGGAGAGAGAGGAGTCTCTTGAAGAAGTTGCTGCCTGATTCTACCGTATTCAGCAGGCTGTTCCTCAGTGCGAATCCCATTCTGTGTTGGCAATGTCCACATGAAGCCTCTTTAGCTCGCCGTTGATGACGGCAGTTTTCCTGGAGTCACTGACGTCCTGGGGGTCATCAGAGAGCTCGTTCAGTATAGTCTGGGCGTTCCAACAACCCAGTTTTAGAGTGGATTTCCTTTGAAAATTCTTCTTGGTGCCTGGCGCGAAGGTTGCAGTCTGCGTGTCTCCTAATCTCCATGCACCTAATGAAGAAGACTGACCGTGACGTGACAACATCTTACTCGTTGGGAGCTGCTCAGCTTGAGGCAGGCGGTAGCTGTCCAATGAGATTCGAAAATCTATCCCGCCGACGAGTACGACCCCTACGCTAATCGAGTGGTATCTTATAATCTTATGCAGTTCTTTGTGTTGTATCACGACAAATGCGAAGCTGGAGTCTCCTCTCCGGGTGTAGTGCAGGGTGTTTTGGTGCAGTGTCGTGTGGTCGGATGCAAGCCTGGGCAATATGATATGGACGACAGGCTGTTGCTATAGTTTGGGATCGGTGCCGTCCAGGAGCTGCCAGAATGGGATGGCTACAATGCCGAACTGCCTTAGGGACTCCGTCTACGGATTTTCCTCGACATTTACTCTTGAAGCCATTTTTGTGACTGCATATGGCCGCAAGGCAGCGAGTGTTTGAAATAATGGTTTTCCTTCCACTAGGTGAACCGATTTCCTAGGCTGTCAAGCTCCACCTACCCGGGATATGTTTTACAATTATCAATATTGAAATTTATAGATCCTAAGGCTATACATACGTTGCAAATTTTAAATAGCCAATATAGATTTTATTGTGCCAATATTCTATTCTCTATACATATTGCTATGTCTTTAATATTTGAAATACATATATATCAGGATTATACACAGATTGCATATATTTTGTAGTCACTATACGTTTTACACTTATTGAAATTCATACATTCCAGGACTATACATAGGACGTATATCTTTTTTATTAGCCCCTGTACTCTAGGTCAGCATTTGACCTAGAGAGGCGAAATCTATATTGCATGTCTGAAAGAAGACTCTGATATATCTAACTAATTCAGAATTGATTAGAAAAATGTAGAATGTTAATAGGCCGATAGTTAGAAGCGTCAGACACTTCACTTGATTTCTTAACGACTGGAACAGAAGAGGATTTCCAATAAACAAAAAAGCAAAAGATATCGAAGATTTTATTGTACAGATTAGAGAGAACTAGAGCTAGCTCTGTAATAATCGTTAGTACATTGCAGTTGGTTTAGAGAAGCGAAAGTCGTTTTGCTTATCTGAAAGAAAACCTTACAATATGAGATACTTAAGCAATTCATAGTTGTTTAGGGGTTCTATTAGTTTGCCAAAAAAACTAAAAGATTTCGTTTTACAGCCACTAAAATGTTAATATTTTTATTAATATTCATAGATCCCAGGATTATACACAGGCTGCGTGTCATTTTAAATAACACCTATACGTTGTACAATTATTACCGTAATTCATCGATCCCAGGATTATGCACAGGTTGCATATCTTTTTATAGCCACTATAGGTTTACTATTATTTTTAAAATTCGTAGAACCCAGGTTTATATAAATGCTGCAAATCTTTTTAGTATCCCTATACGTTTACAATTATTATTGCAATTCATAAGGTCCCAAGATGATACACTTTCTTTATGTATTTTAGCTAATATACGTTTTACAGTTAGTAATCAAATTCCTAGTCATGGCGGTATACACATGCTGTATATCATTTTTAGCTACTTCATCTTTTAAAATTTTCAATGAAATACGCAGGTCCCATTTTTATACATAGATTGCACGTATTTTTTAGCCACTATATATTTCACAATTATTTTTGGTATAGGACGATTCCAGAATTATATATAAGGTTTCATAACTTACTTTTTTTTCACTATACAGTTTACACTTATTAATGAAATCCGTAGATCTCATGAATATAAATTGTTGGCACGTCTTCTTTTATGCACTATATGCTCTGCAATGTTTATTATTTTAAGTTCACGATTATACATAGACTGCACGTTTTTAACCCCTATACTTTCTACAAATATTGCTAAATTAATTTGTTCTCTCGATTAGACATTTTCTTTTCGCTCTTTTATGTTTTAATGTGATTCTCTCTCGTTCGGTAAATGAATGCGCATTCACTGCAGAACAAGTTATTTTTCTTTCAGGTATAAATCGCATCTTTCGCCGTTCCTGTTACAGACACTGGCTTTAGCTATAATTTTCAGCCCCGTTCCTCTAGAATCCCAGTCGAAAGTAAAAAGAGCAGGACTGTTATTGAACTTACTGTTTGCCAAACGCGCGCTCGAGCGCACACACATGTGTGTGTATGTGTAGAAAGAGACAGAATGATATTATGGACATATGAATTAAGACTGTATTTCAAATGTGGCCTGAAAATGTCTGTTACCATGCAGTGTTGATTTACAACACATCTCACCTGCCTACGACGATAGCCAGGGGGAGAATTTCTGACTGGTATCAAATCGGCCGTGTTTCGGTCCTGACTTGAAGCAAAACGAACGCCTAGCCACACTAGAGAGCTGTACAGCGAAACAGTCTGTCCATGGATGACTATATATATATATATATATATATATATATATATATATATATATATATATATATATATATATATATATATATCCGAATGTAATGAGAAAGAAAATAATATAAATTCTAACGTCCACAGCATTAAATCAAAAGCGGGCTCAAGAGTAGAGCAATAATCATTTATTAAAATTTTTACATACAGAAAAAATACATCCTGCTCATTACGCATCGAAACAAGAATGTATCTTTTGTAGTAAATTGTTTTTGTTCGTATATAAAAAAATAATATATATATATATATATATATATATATATATATATATATATATATATATAGTCATCTTCATACAAGCCTGTTTCTCTGTATGTTTCGCTGTATCACAGCTCATCAGTGCGGCTAGACTTTCCGATTGCTTCAAGCCGAGATCCTACCCGACCGATTTGTTATTAGTCCGAGATTTTACCCTTAAGCTATCGGCGCTCGGTAAAGAAAGGGGAATTTTAACGTAGTATAAAATTGGTATATACAAACGACAGCAGACAAGAGTGCTCAATTCATTACTGAAGAGCATTGCGCAAATAGCAAAAACACCCACTCTTTTTAAAATTACACTTTTTCCAAAGTGCTCAATCGATGAAATGGCGACGGACTCTTCCGTCGATTTCTTCGTATGTAGATCCAGATACCTCATTCATTTTTTTTGTTTCGTATGTAAGACTTCATTCAGTACCTATAGTGATCTGCATACAAGCCCACATATTGTGCAACTGCGACGATCTAGGGACATAGCGACTGGAATATTTGCGGGCGCTTTTGAACCGTTGTCTTTCGTCTCTTAGCCGGTAAATATGATACCACATTGGAACAAGTATCTCCAGTTATTTCTGTCCAAGGCAACTTGCTCGTAGTATGAGGCACATTGAGGGCTAAGAGGTTACGCTTTTGCTTGCCTTTATATCTGGGTCACGGACGTCCAACACTCCTTTGTCCACCGTCAAGCTGATTATACATACGATGTCGTCACTCATCCTTGCAATATAACCAACCCAGCAAAGTTGTGCCTGCGTCAAGAAAGTCTCAATTCAACCAATGTTGCATTTGGGACACGCTAATAGGTGTCTATCATGAGAGGAAAACTAGGGTGGGGGGCAATTTTTGGTTTAAAAATTTAAAAATGTAAAACCGGTTAAAATATATGAAAAGGAAAATGGGAGGTTCTAATTTGGCAATCCCGTCATGTCTCTAGCCCAAGACCAGTACGGCTTTAATTAAATATATCAACTCCAAGTTGGAATGTAGGCATCACCAAATAATTCTTGATCTGATTTTCATCCAAGAGTCCACCTGTACTGGTCGACTCTGCCAGTCTTAACTGGATACTGGTGTCCTTGAAATGAACACTTGATTATTATTCATTGTAACTTTTTTTGTATTTAACTTGATTTCTGTTTTTTCATCTCCGTTGTTCTTTTCTCCTTTTAAGTTTTCTATGCCATCTTTTTTCCGAATGTTATTTCATATTTTTCTATTTCTTCCTACATTGATTTAATTTTCTCTAAATACTCTCCTCAGCACGTACATCCCCCCCCCACACACATATATATATATATATATATATATATATATATATATATATAAAGACATTTTTTATGTTAATACGTTCTTTTTATAGATACAAATATTTAAGTAAATGCTCTGTTTATAATAGTGTTGTGGATTCCTGGATGAAATCCGGTACCAATAAATAACAAACGCCAAGAATGAATATAGGAAAATAATGTATTAACGTAATAATACAAACTGGTAATGCAGGTTAGTAGTTCCAGGAATACGGGTTAGTAGCAAAATATCTATACAGTCTTTGGTATTGAAGTATCGCTGTATGACTTGTTACTGAGTCTCCGTGCTCTCTCACTGTGACTCTTGATGGCTACGTTCGTTGTGTCTGTCTGTTAACTTCACCCTCTGTTGCTCTCGTCTCTCGGGTCTTCCTGTAGCAGTAGTATATGTATATACTGGGTGAGTTCATTTGTGTAAAAAGGGGAGAACCTCTCAACCCCCCTCCTTAGATCCCTTTTTCGGGGGAATTAATATCTTTTCCTTTTATGATCGATAATCAGAGGTTCTGCAATTTTTCTTTTCCTGCTAGTCCTAATTTCTGTCTCTTCTTGTGGTCTTTGAATATCAAAAGCTTCAAAGATCGCCTCCATCGAATCATCATTTTTCAGTGGGTGACGAGCTTGGCTCTTCAACCCGTCTTTTTTGTATTTGGTCAATATGTCTTCTGTTGGTAAATTTTTCTCCTTGTATTGTGTACATCACGTTTCTCAGATTGTTAATTATTTTTTTCAAAGCTCTCTTTAATTTTTTGTCGACTTTCTCTATGGTAGCAAACGGCACGTTCTGCTTCTTTTTAAATATTGGTTGGACATTTTCTTTTAATTCAATTCGGGCTGCAAACTTGTTGCATCGTCCCAACCTGCTCGAAAATACCTCGCGAAATTGATTATGTAATTCTTCCTT